AAAAACATCCATGAGTGAGGATTAACAATAAAAAATGGTGTCATTCAGCGTGCCGCCTTTTGAGTCTGGCTTTGTCACGAATTAGCAATGCTTCTGAGAGTCACCTACGCAGCTACAACTGTCGGCAGTCTGTCCTATGTCGCTCAGCAGTTTTCCACTGAATGGACGTACCACAGCTTATTCTACACCAATTTATCCATCAGCTGGTGGGCATTTGGGTTGTTTCAAATTTGGCTATTACTGCCAAGTAAATAAAACTTGCTATATGCAGATCCACTTCAAGTTAATATTTTGTATATGACATCAGGAATGGATAAAGATTCTTTTTTTTTTTTGGTATAAGAGTGCTCAATTGGCCCTAACTGGTTTGGCTCAGTGGATAGAGCGTCGGCCTGCGGACTGAAAGGTCCCAGGTTCGATTCTCGACAAGGGCATGTACCTTGGTTGCGGGCACATCCCCAGTGGGGGGTTTGCAGGAGGTAGCTGATCGATGTTTCTCTCTCATGGATGTATCTAACTCTCTATCCCTCTCCCTTCCTCTCTGTAAAAAATCAATAAAATATATTTTAAATAAAAAAAAGAAAGCCCAATTGTTTCAAAACCATTTGTAGAAAAGACTTTTCTTTCTCCATTAAATTACCTCGGCACCTTTGTTAAATCAAATAACCTATAACTGTTTATTCTGTTCCTCTGGTTCTGCCAATACACACTATCTTAAATACAGCAACTTTGTAAGACTTGAGCCCAGCTGGTGTGGCTCAGTGGTTGACCTATCTTTCTCTGCCTCTCCCTTCCTCTCTGGAATCAATATATACATTAAAGACCTGAAATCAGGGGGTGTGAGTCCGCTTTGTTCTTTTACCTCAAACTTGTTTTAGTTATTCCAATCATCCGCTCCTGGAGACTCTGCAGCCAGTGTGACAGGTTTCCGAGGGGGGGCGTGCGTGACTTACCGGGTTATGTCACAGAGGTTCTGAAAGATCTTGTCTGGGTTTTGCCCGTCGGGGCCGCTCACGTGCCCCGTCTCCTTCAGCTGCTGCACCTTCCGCAGGGCCACGCCCACGGCGTAGCGCATGAACTCATTGCTGGACCTCAGCACGGACAGGCTCTCCTCGTGGCTTTGGGTGCTGTCCCTAGAGAGAGGGAGAAGGAAGGTCCCTCCTGCTCTCTGGGGACTGCTCAGTGTGGCAGCATCCAGCAAGCTTCGGATGATGGACTCTAGGCGTCCAAGCAGGCCATTCGCACACTATCTGCTGCAGAGAGCATCAGATGCCACAGGCTGGGGGTCGTCCTACCAGACTGCCCACCCCCCACTTCAGACACCAGCCGCCAGCCCAGGTACCACCAGAGTTATGTCTCAGGTTCTGAAAGACCAACGGGCTACAGATCGAAGTTCCCAATGGCCCCCTCCAGCTCGCAATGCTAACTGAGTCCAGGCTGCTGTCTGCACTTCTGACCGACTGGCTATAAATCCGAGGTTCCCACACCCACTCCTGGGGTTCAGTTAATCTGCTGGAATGACTCTCACGGGACTCAGAAACACACGTGTACGGGAAGAACTATGACGCCCCCCCCAGATGACAGTGCCTCCCGGGCGCCCAGCAGTGACGTCACAGCGCAGCTGTCATTCAGCCTCCATCAGCCCTCACCTGAAAAGGGCGGTGAGGAGATCAGACACAAACTTCAGGGACAGAAAGCTGTCGCTGGTTTTGGTGGCCGCTTTGGTTTTGCCTTTGCCAGCTTTCTCGGTCAGGATGTCGGAGAGTTTCTTGTAACACATGAATAAGCTCAGGATGTCCTCGAACTTGTTCTTGCTGTGGACAAGGGGAAGGGACCACCAAGGACAGCATCAGAGGCTGTGGCTTCCCGTCGCATGGAGGAAACCACAGCGCTTCTGCAGATGCTCTCTCTATTCCAGACACTGTCATGCGGGAATGACCCCTCATCACCATGAACTCCCGGGCATGCGATCTACCGAACTATGGTTTCCTCCTGTATTGGGACCAGGCCATACAGAGCATGAGGGTCGCACACCACCACCAATCAAGAAGAGGAGTTCTTGATGCCAGAGCCCAGGAATTCTGAATTAAAGCCTGCTAGAGGCACAGCATTCGCCTGCCTGTCCGTCATAGTTTGGGTGTTCCCTGGTAGGAAACACGGTGCCTGGTCTTCGGCTAGATGTCTATCCAAGAGATCCTGTCATGGCCCAGCCGGTGCTGCTCAGGGGTTGAGTGGCGCCCCATAAGCCAAGAGTCACTGGTTCAATTTCCAGTCGGGGCACATGCCTAGGTTTCGGGCTCAATCCCCAGTGAGGGCGTGCAGGAGGCAGTCAATCAAGGATGTTTCCCTCTCATTCAAGTTTCTATCTCTCTATCCCTTTCCCTTCCTCTCTCTCTCAAAATCAATGAAAACAGATTTAAAAAAAGAGAGAGATACACTGATGTCTGTGATATGTTCAGTAACTAGCATACCGAAGGAAAAACACACTCCGTCCCCCTACCCTATAAAATGGAGAATTAGGCAAACTGCAATTAGAGTCACAGCAATAGCTTACCTGAAATTACTGATGGAGAAATTATATTCCATTAGAACCTCACAAACTCCCATCACAAGAGAAGCACAGATGTTGTTTTTGATGCCGATACCAGTGCTCTGAGAAAAATCTGCTGATTTATCCTGAAAGACACCAGAGAAAAACTAACAAGCTTCCGAAAACTTCCATTCTACAACATAACTGAGGCCCTGGGAGGTGTGGCTCAGTTGGAGCATTGTCCCATATCCTGAAAGGCTGCGGGTTCGAGTCCCGTTAGGGAACAGGTTGCAGGTTCGATCCCTGGTCTGATTGCATATGGGAGGCAACTGGTCGATGTTTCTGTCTCACATCCATGTTTCTCTCTCTCTCAAAATCAATTTCTAAAAATTGATGATCTATACATATAAAAGGCTAATAAGCAAAGTGTCCCCTCCAGAGTTCTATCACTTGCTATGATGAGCGCTGACCACCAGGCGGTGGTGGGGAATGAAGGAAGGCCCCGGCTGACATCCAGAAGGCCCCTATAGGCCCTGATCGCCGGCCAGGCTTAGGAAAGCCACCCGTGCACGCATTTAGTGCACTGGGCATCTAGTAAATAATAAATAAGAGATTTAGCAATTACCAGTTCAAAGTCCTCTAGTTCACTCTTGATCATTCTCTTGGTAAGAGACTCCAACATGTCATCTAACTCTTGGTAGAACCCTTCCTCCTCCTCCTCCTCCTCCTTCTCCTCTCCCTGCTGAGCGGGCATCACTTTACTCTTATACCAGGCCAAGCAGTGCTGAATGCAGCACAGCAGATGGTCCTGTAGAAGAAAGAAGAACAAAATATTCTTGAGTGTTCAGAGATAACGTGCAAAGTTTTGCTAATTGACAATTAATTCTTGCCTATCAGGCTAAAGTAAGCTATGCGCTTACAGCACAAGTTGCGAAAAGCAGAATTAACACTGCAAAAAGCTGCACTAGCAGAGGCCTGGGTTCCAGACCTGCCCTCCTCAAAGGAACTGGCTTCGTAAGAAGCTGGAACCTCACAAGGTAACGGCGGACACGCTCCCTCTGATCCAGGGCAAACACCACGGAGCCAGGCTGGGCAGCTCGGTCTCTCTGGCTTCTCTGAGTCCCAGAGGCTATTCTAACGGTGGGGGTTTGTGCTAAAGGAATCTCAGAGACCAACACCGCATCTCCGAGGCTAAGGACACTGCAGGCAGAGAAGGTCCGTGCACGAAGGCAGAATATGACCATGGCATGACCACGAGCTCTAAATGGGGTGGCGTTGAAGTTTTATCTTCGCTTCCCTGTCTTTCTGAGGCTAGAAAGCAAGAACAGAGGACCAACCTGTCCTAGCTCCCCTGAGGGGTCCACAGCACGCCAATGCTAGCTCAGCCTACATCATCCACGCCCTCCAGACTAATGAAGCAGGTGCCCTGGGTCATCTGCTCCTGGCCTCCCTCCCGCCCCATCCTAAAGCACATTCACTTAGTACCACAATCCAAGAGCCACAGATGGAGACAAAGTGCTCCTGGGGGAAGAGGCAGATGCCGACACAGACATCTTACCAACAGACACGGGTGATGATGGGTCAGAAAAGAAAAGCAGGGAGCGTTCAGAGTAAGAGATCGCCGGGGGGAGCAGACAGCCTCATGGGAAAGGCGTCTCTTTCGAACCATCAACTCTGTCAACAAGGTTAATATCTTAACAGTAAAAACAATGGTTACAGGAAGAATAGCAGTCTCACCAGTGGCTCCTGTAGCGAGATCTGATCTCCTTGGGTCAAAATACAAGCTTCTAACTTCAGAGGAGGCAGCACATCGGCCTGGGGCTCATAGAACTGTTTCAGCTACAGACGGCAAGAAACAGAGACACTACTCAGCGCTGCTTTTCACTTTACATGGGTCAAGCTAAAGGCACCTTTAGCCCTAACCGGTGTGGCTCAATGGATAGAGCGTCGGCCTGCGGACTGAAGGGTCCCAGGTTCGATTCCAGTCAAGGGCATGTACCTTGGTTGCGGGCACATTCCCAGTGGAGGGTGTGCAGGAGGCAGCTGATTGATGTTTCTAACTTTCTGTCTCTCTCCCTTCCTCGCTATGTAAAAATCAATAAAATATATTTAAAAAAAAAAAAAAAGAATTGAACCTGGGACCCTTCGGTCCACAGGCCGACAGCTCTATCCACTGAGCCAAACTGGCCTGGGCTGAAGACGGTTGCAAAGATCAAAAAATTTCTATATGTGACACGGCACCAGAGTTAAGTTGGCGTTTTTCAAAATGCTGACATGCTGAGCTCAAAAGGTTCGCCGTCACGGCTCTAGAGGCCTCAGGCAGGAGGGACATTGTTCAAGATGAAAAAACTGAATCCACAGAAATGAATAAAGAGCATCGGCAATGGTAAAAAGCGGAGACATATAGACAATTGTGTGTGTGTGTGTGTGCGCGCCTGTATACTTTACTTTTTCTTCTATTACTATAAAAGACGTAAGACATAACTGTTTAAAGCAAAAACTGTAACACCGTTTAGCTGGGATTTTAACATAGATAGGTATTCTTATTACTATCAGTACATAAGAGCATCTTTTAAAATTGTTCCCCCCTTTTTACTGAATTTATTGGGGGTGACACTGGTTAACAAAATTATACAGGCTTCAAGTGCACAATTCCACAACACATCATCTGCACACTGTATCATGTGTTCACCACCCCAGTGAACTCTCTTAATATATAAAAAGATTCATGTATCACACAATGACATATTTAGCCGTAAAAAAGAAATGAAGTAACGATAGCTGGGACACCATGGGTGAATCCTGAAAACACTGTCAAGTGAAAGACCACACACGATAGGACTCTATTGATATGAAATGTCCACAAGAGGCAAAATCTATAGCCAGAAAGCAGACTGGTGGTTACTTAGGGCTGGGAGGGTAGGGGAAAGATGAGAAAATGAGGTGATAGCTAAAGGGGGTGGAGTCTCTTTCTACGGCAGCGGTTCTCAACCTGTGGGTTGTGACCCCTTTGGGGGTCGAACGACCCTTTCATAGTGGTCGCCTAAGACCATCAGAAAAGACATATATAATTACATGTTGTTTTTGTGATTAATCACTATGCTTTCATTATGTTCAATTTGTAACAATGAAATTGGGAGTCACCACCAGATGAGGAACTGTAATAAAGGGTCACGGCATTAGGAAGGTTGAGAACCACTATTCTAAGGTGATGAAATGTTCACCTGGTAAAAGTTGCATAGCTCTCTGAATAGACTAAAGACCAAGGAGTTGTACACTTTAGATGGGTGAACTGCATGGTATGTGAATTACATCTCAATAAAGCTATTTTAAAAATTCAAATAAATGCTTAATAAATGAGTGTTGAGGGTAAAAGGTCTTGTTGATACAAGATATTCTCCAGTTGAGTTCTTCCTATCGTGATTGTCCTTTTGAAATATTTCATAATTTTAAAACCCCCTTTAATCAAAAAATACAGAAAATAACCTAACAGACACTGAAGTATCTGTTACCTAGACTTAACACAAGGCCGTATTTTGCTGTGTTTTCTCCAGGTCTCACTCTTTTTCCTTTTAGAAGTAAAACAACAGATACAGCTGCTGACAATCCTTGTACAAATGGCTCTTTAAAATGTCCTTCAGACTTAAGATGCAGACTGTTAACTGAGAGGGCAACTATTATACAATGGGAAGATGGCAGGTACATAGTGGTAATTAAAATAAAACATCAAGACCGCATCACAGCCCAGCCGGCATGGCTCAGTGGTTGAGTGTCAACTTATTAACCAGGAGGTCACGGTTCAATTCCCGGTCAGGGCACATGCCTGGGTTGCAGGCTTGATCCCCAGTGTGGGGCATGCAGGAGGCAGCGGATCAATGATTCTCTCTCATCATTAATACTTCTCTCTCTCCCCCACCCAGTCCCTTCCTCTCTGAAATCAATAGAACTATACATTTAAAACAAGTAAGTAAATAAACCATCAAGATAGCATCACACACCCATCAATGTGCCAGTGACTATTCGGGAATTATTTCACATTGTGAAAAGTCTGGAAAATGTCATCGCCTCTCACTGCCCCATTATCTGTTTTCTATACCCATAAATGCTTTTACCTGTGACAGCAGAGTCTGCATGATCGAATTAGCCAGCTGAGAGTTCCTTCGAAGGACATCATAGAATCCCTGAGAGGAATCAGAGAACAAATAAACTCTTTAACAGAGATACCAGTGATTCAGACAATCATAACTTCAAAATAACACTATCTTTCTTTTTTTTAAATATATTTTTATTGATTTCAGAGGGGAGAGAGAGAGAGAGAAACATCAATGATGAGAGAGAATCACTGATTGGCTGCCTCCTGCACACTCCCACTGGGGATCGAGCCCAAAACCTGGGCATGAGCCCCTGACCGGAATCGAACCTGGGACCCCTCAATCTGCAAGCTGACGCTCTATCCACTGAGCCAAACCGGTTTTGGCAACACTATCTTTCTTTATCCTATTCTCAGTTCTTTGAAGAAGATGAATATATTATTTGCTAGAGAAACAATTCAGAAAGTTTGTTACTGCCTCAACTGTACCCCAATAAATTCAACAATAATTACCTAATGAATTAAAAACATAAGAAAGATGACGAGCCGGGGGATGCAACGTTCCTCCCACTCTGCGGAGTTACCTCGTAGAGCATGAGCCGCACGTCAGCCTGCTGGCCCAGGCACCGCCTCAAACTGTCCATGATCTCCAGGCAGAACGCCTCGTTGGCCACAGCATTGTACCGACTGTGGACATCCACGTGGACCTGCCGAGGAAGGCACGGGTGAGCTCAGGCCCTGGAACCCAGCAGCTCGTAACACACCTGGTTGACTCAAAAGACCTACAAGACTTCTTCACGTTCTTCAGGAGCTGGGAGAATCTAGCACTTTTTGCTCCCACCAAATCCTGAGACGGTTAGAGGCAGTTTTTAGCTTAGAAATGCAGATGGCAACAACACCCCTTAATGTGCATAGTAAATTCAGCAACTCCAATTTTGTTTTCTCAGATTACAGGGTTTAATACAGGTTCATGTGCCAAGTAAATGAACTATAAAAGATGGAGGTCATAAACGTATTTAGCCTCTGAGAACTACTGTGAAGAATAAATGAAATAATGAATATAAAGCACTCAGCCTCGTGTCTAACAGGACAAACCACAAATGCAACTCACGTATCTAATTTAAAATTTCCTGGTAACCAAATTTGAACAGGAACTGATGA